CGTGGTCGACATGGCCCTGGACCACGGAGCTCGGAGTTCCCTTAACCGACAAGGACGCGCACGATCTCCTCGCCACACCAAGTGGTCGCCCCATCGATACGAGCGCACTTCAACGCCTTTTTCAAGGGTACGGGGAGTTTGCGCCGACGCTCTTTGTCCGGGATGAGATGATTGTCGTATGGCGCTTTCTCGTTGCCAACAGCATCGACGACGACGACGCCCACAGTGCAGGCATCAAGAAAGCACGTACAGCTTTGCTTCGCACACAATCAACGTCCGCCGACTGGGCCACGGTGGTTGCGGCTTCTGCAGCTTCTGCTGCTTCAGGGGCGGCTGCGATGCCAGTGCAAGCACCGAAGCTCCCACTCGGGCTCGTTGGGACTTCTGGTGTCGGCAAGTCGGAGCTCATTATCCTCTTTGGCGTCTACATGGCAGTCCAGCGCCAGCACAACGTCCTTATCTCGCGCAAGTCGAGTGGTCGCGGTGGGCGTCCGGACACTGTCATCGTTTTGTGCGGCTGCCAAGTGATCAAGTTCCCCGACTTTGCGCGCGAAAACCTCGCGGCGCTCGTCGACGAGTTCAAGCGCAAAAGTTTGGCCGAGAACAAGAGCTTTCTCATCATTGGCGACGGGTACCGCCAAGAAGAGAGCAACATGCACCTTCCGCTGTTTAGCTTCATTGCCGCTGCTCACATCATCTCGACGTCCGGGCAGTTCCAGACGATGCCAGGCGGTGCGCGCGTACCCGTGCTCGTACCAGCGTGGTCGAAAGAGAGTCTCGAGCTCGTGGCCGAAAGAGCGCTCGAAGCCACGTTCAAGGACCGCTACGCTTACTCTGGCGGCAGCATTCGCGAGTTTCTCCGTGAGCCAGTCCGTGAGCCCAGCGCCGCTCAAGCTGAAATCGGCTTTCACCTGACGGAGGCTGCCATCAAGGCCCTTCAGCACAACACGGAGGGCCCCACGAACTCCAAGATCGACACCTTCCGCCAGATGTACGTCGGTGCGATCGACAACTACGACCACTACGTCAACGGCGCCCATTGGCGGCGAGAAATCAAGACCAAGTACGTCGGGTGGCTCTTGACCACGATGGCGTCGCTCAAGTTTTCCGTGTCCATCCTCATGTGGGCAGAGGCGTGGGGCGGCGCTCTCTACGGGTGGGTCTTCGAGAGCTTCGTGCACAAGCTCGCGTCGGAAGGCCAGCTCAAGCTCCGCGTTTTGGACTATAGCTCGTTTATGTGGTTCAATTTGTCGGCCACGCTGACCATCGACGACTCGTTCACGGTCGTCAAGGGTCCGACGAGCCAGGAAGGTTGTCTCAAGCACATCGCCACTGGCTTGTGCGCGTACACATAATACTTTTATCCAGGCTTCGCCACGTTCCCAGCGATCGATGCCATCGTGGTCACAACGAAGACCATTTACTTCCTCCAAATCACCATCTCAGAGACGCATCCGACGAACTGGGACCACATGGACGAAATTCTCAAACGCGTGCGAGACAACAAGAACATCAAACGCTTCCATCGCGCATTTGTGTATGTGACGCCACCAACAACCAACCATGCACCACCCCAAGTCAAATCGATGGGCTTGCCATGTGGAACGGTGCTGTCCTCCACATCCCTGCCACCAAGGGGCTCCGATCGCTCGAGAATTAGCCTAATTACATGTCAATCTCAAAATGCAGTCGTTAACTTGATCTCCACCAGCGGCCGAAACCCCAAGTGCAACGAACCGGTGGAGGGGGAAGAAGCGCACAATTCGGGATATATTGGACTAGAATGCCACAGCCATGAGGCTGTAGTGCCACTTCAGCACCGCCGCGTTGATCCTGTTGAAATCAAAAGACTAAGAAGAATACACAATGCACCATCGAGTCGTAGCATGAGAAATGGTATGTGATGCTTACATATTTTTTGGAGCCGTCTAGTACTCCTCGCCGAGCTCCTCTTCCTCGCCTTC